TTTTTATATAAATTTCAATAATAGAAACTGATTTGATTATAACTTAAATAAAAAAACTCAAAACAGGAGACAGGTCACACAGTGAATTAAAAATAGTTCAAGCCTTATTGCATTAGTTATGAAATGTACAAGTTTTCCCCTTTAAATAAACAATACTAGCCGCACAATATACACGAATAATAATCGTGCATTTTTTATAAATATTGTATATGTTGGTACCCCTTCGAGTGGCTGCTTGTCGAGTGGCTCGGTGTCGATTTTCGGTGGTTGTTTGTCGAGTGGCTCCGTGTCGAGTGGCTCTTTGAGGTGTAACCGTATATTCCACAAAAGACGTTTATAGTCGAACCACAGATTAAATGAAAACAGATTGTTCACTCTCGATGTAAACAAAAAATGAGCTGATAAGCACTCCGCCGAAACCAGTGTGACCATGTCAGCCGGAACGAAATTATCGAACTTGTATTTACCACAAATTATATGATTATTTCATATAATCTCATATAATTTCATATAATCACAAATTATATGATTATTTCATATAATCTGTGTATTTATCATATTAAATGTTAAAAAAATAATAAATGTTATATCGGTAATAATATTGATCCCGTCGATAACACTCTATCATTATCTCAAAGACATTTCATTACTAACACTGATATATATATATATCAGTGTTGGAAAGATTGCATTTATTGGATTTCATTCCTTTTTAGAGGAATGCAATCATGAATGTATTACATTTAGTTTTAAGGAATGAGGAATGGGAATTAATTAACCTTATGTCGGAATGTGAATGAATTCTAAAAAAAGAAACACTTCATGGCAATTTAGTAATTTTTAATTGACTGTAATTTACTAATTTATATTTAATTTATGATATATTTTATACATTTTTTCATAGCAAATGAACAGATTGATGAACAATAAATAATCAATTACTAACATTTTTTAAACAGTTTTAAAGGAATTAATTTTCTGAAAAAACGAATGTCTTACATCAGATGAATCACCTGTAGTTTATACAAGGTGATCTTTTGGTTGACATTATTATTCTGACCAAAAAAAATAAAAATTATTAAAACATATTTTTATATTTAAATTTGTTTTCATTCATAATACTTAAAATAGCATCTAAGTCTTTTATACAGTTTGCATTTTCAGAATAATGGAAATGGTTCTGGCAAAACATTTTTTTTAAACGACCAAAAATGGACTGGTGTCGGATTTATATTACTCCCATTTCCCACCCCCTAGGATGGTTACAAGTTTTTTTTGTTTTTAAGCCATAATTTTGGGACCTTTAAGTTGAAAATTTGTCAGTTGTTAGAACTCATATGTATCCGTAACATGTTAAACGGAAAACAATTCGGCACTTTAGTTTTTTATACTATTTTACTAACAATTATACTATTTTATTTATGTGAACTTTGTGATTTATTAATTTTTAATAATTATTTCATGTTCATTATTTTTTATTTATTTTAACCTATTAGCAGGCGCGTATGCGCATTTTGTACGCCAAATATACTTTTAAAGGCACGACTTTTATCTGAGTAGCCTATAGAATTAGAGTAAATAAAAAATTGGTTATATTAAAACACGTATAACTAGGTATATAAATATGCAATACTTTTATTTGTTTAATACTTTTTTATAATAATTTGTATTATTTTATTTATAATTATTTTTTGTTTATTATTTTTGAATTGATATTATTTTTACAATAACAATGTAATTAAATACTGCGTGTCAATACTATTCATAGTTGATTAATGCTCTGTCAGTTGTCATGCCCTATGGTGGACAGCTTACTATTTCTCTATGTTAGAAATAATTAAAATTGTATATTAATAAGTATGGATATGTTATGTTTATTGTTTATAACGCATTATATTTTTACTTATTGGGAATTTTAAAATGTCTTATTATTAAATGTATTATTATTTATTAACTGTAATTTATTATTGAAATTAAAATTATTGCCCTTGGATAAGTCATACTATATAGTGCGTAAGATAATATAAAACAACTGTAATTGTTAGAATAATATTATTAAATTATTATTATTATCATTATGGTTATTAATATTTATAAAATGTTTGGTAAATACAAGAGAAACATTCTGTTTAACTCAATTATTTAACAAATGCGAAAGCCCGCGAACACGTTTAAAAACAAATTCCCTTCAGTCGGTCATACTGATTTTGGCGGGCCAATCATAGAGCCTTATTTGCAATCCTATTGTTAAAGGCCCGAGTGAACAATCTGTTTTCATATAATCTGTGGTCGAACGATGACTATCCTTTTATAACAATATATATGAAATTATTCTATACGATATATAATATAATAACACGTATTATGTACAAGAAAAAATTGTCCTCAACCCCTCCCTCCCCCCTCCTATATCGATTTTAAGCACCAGAGAAGTTTTTTCAAATTGAGTTTATAGTTGTTGAAGGTCTAAGAATAATTTGTTATAAAAAATAACGAAAATTTCTTTAAAAAAATGTAGTTTCTTATAAAACCATATGTGAAACTAGACATTTTACAAGATAAAGCTTATTCTATGGTAACTAAATGGACTTATAAAGTTGGGTATATTAAAACAGGGATCGGAGAGTTACTTAGGAAAAATGTATAATAATGCCTCTGACTTAATAAACGGAGCCTTATCCATTTGAGTGAACACACTTCACGCTTTACATAACCAGTGGCGTACATTAAATCTTCCTCTGGGGGTGGAGGGGGGGGTGTAAAAAAATAATATTACATAACCTGATATGGTTAATTATTATCAATTAAGTTGGAATATTATTTTCGAAAAAGAACTCGATAGTACGATTTCAAGAAATAACGAAATTTCTGGACTTATAGTTACGAAGATATTTTAATTCTTACTTAGGTAGCCGCAATTCCCCTTAATACTTAATAATTAAAATATAATTGTTAAATTATTATTTATTTACTTCAAGTTCTAAATTACTTCAGAGAGTAACAGTGTAACAATTATACAATAAATGCCTATAATATATTACTTAAAACACAATTTTTTTTTTTAGCTTTGGGGGTTTGAACCTGAACCCCCCTGTTAGTGCATCACTGTACATAACAATAAATACATTTTTTCCGATTATTTTAATTTACCTCCGAAAAATAAGCATCGCTTGTGTAAGGTGGATATTAATTACTTTAATAAACCCCAATTAAGTGTCTTCGAAAGCCCGACTACCGTGTAATTCAAGCCCAACCATACGTGCAATGCCTAGGGACGAAGTAGAGACATATTCTCTACATTGTGTTCCTAGAGATGATATTTGCATCACAAATAATTGTTTATATTTTGTGTCTACATAATAAACCGCGGCATATATAAAAAATGTTCTTATTAAATTGTTCTTATTCATTTTTACAAATAACATTCATTGACTAATGTAGATCTTTTGGATTTATTGGCAATATTTGTTCTACTCTAGTTTTATTCTATTACTCTGAACTGGAAATTATGACCATGTATACTAATGACTAATTAGTATTGGAATACTACTTCATATTAGTAGAGTAGCTAAAATAATAAAATAAATAAGTTTGCTGGACAAAGACTAGATCAGAATGAATTTAATTAAATTAATTATGAAAGCTATATTCCAGTGCTAATATTTACTTTAATGCCGTTAAAAAACACAGTTTTTGCAATTAAAAAGTTAACAAAATAATTACTTATTATTAAATAAGACAATAAAAATAATAAATACTCCAAATAAAGAATAATTAACATAAAATAAAAAATAAAACGTTTATCGACCATAAACTGCATAGAAAATATCGGCCTCCGGGCGAATGGTAGCGCCGCCTGTACAGCGAAGCTGAACTACCAAAATGCCTGAAGCATTCGACCCCAGATTTTTACTGATAAGAAGTTGAGTGGTGTCACCTTATCTTCTCTACATCGTGGTACATAGAATCGGCCTGTTTCTTTATATTCTTTATATTCTTTCATCACCGACCATTTGCTCGAGTACCGTGGTTACCATGGGTACAAACCAAGTGTTTGTTTTGGGTTACTATGGTTACAAACATTTAATTTATTTACATTTCGTATTTAAAGTACAAAGTTCGTGTTTGAGGCCACCCTTAGGGGTGGAATTTTCGAAAATTACTATGCCAGTTAGGTTCGCGGGAGTGTACTAAACAACTTTCCAAAATTTCATGGCGATCGGATGAATGGTGTACTAATGCATAATTCATAAAGGACAAACAAATAGACAGACATTAATTTTTATATATATAGATTATGTATTTACCAGACATAAATACGTGTTTTATTCTATGGTCAGGGCACAGGCGATAACCGTTAAGAGGACGCCACACTGCCCATTTTTGAGGAGTAAAGTATAGGCAATTTTTTCCAAATATTAAAGGTTAAACTGTGATGTGTAACTATGAGTTCAGTAGTTAGGACTCTTTTAGTAGTTAAATTATTTTTCGGACTATCACAGCATCCTTGATAGCGATTTCAAAAAAAAATTCTGTTGAGTTGAGTTTTACGCGGATTAATTTTCTTCAGTCTTCATATATAGTTAAGGGAAGATATTCATACATATTTATGACAAAATTATCTGTGTTCCATCATCCGTATTTTTTCGATATACCTAATACAACCAACGCTATACCATTTTTAAAAAAGTCAAAAAGCCCTTTCATAATTAATTAATTATTCAGTAACTGGTTGAGATATTAAAAAAAGGGCGATGGTAGAACACAGACAATGATGTTGTCTATATTATGTGAAAATTTGGTTTCTTAGTTTTGATTTCAGTCTTTGTAAAATTAATCCGCGCAAGGCGGGTTTTTTGAAGAAAATAACGGGTGTGTGGCGCCCTCTTAAGCGTTATCATAATCACAGTGATAAAATTAGCATACGTGTCACGCCATCTAGCGGCTAACCGCCTTCTACCGATGACTGATATCACATTCCATCAAATTTTGCCATTTATTATATTTATACTTGATTTGTTTGTAAGATTAATTCGCGAATACTGTCTGCGCGAAATACGAGCTTATAAATTGGTAGGGCAATATTTACTCTAATTGTCATGTTTGTTTACATCGTCCGCCGTCTTTGTTTTTAGTTTATAAGAATTTATTTATCTTGCCGTCGTAATTCGTAAACAAGAAGGTAAATATAATATAATATTTATCTGTCGTGGCAAGGTTGTCCTAGAAACCGTTAGTGTAAAATGCAAAATCGTTTGCATCTGCTGCTCTGTTGTCTTTAAAAGATTAAGTTTATTAGTTGTAAGCATGTTCTGGTGGTGGCTACAGTACACCATATACGACACGCAAGCGTACGCGACATAGGTAATAATACGAATAATGTATGATGTAGATGAGCCAGACGAGCGAGAAGAGTTATTCTACAACAATGTCAGAGAAAAAATAGTAAGTATTAATTATTTGTTTTTGAGTTTAAATTAAAATTTAACATAATTTCTTTTCTCTGTAGATTTTTCTTCTATTATTTGTCTTGTTGTTGACGCTAAGTTACGTTATTGTAAATCAATATAGAAAGCGAGACAATATTGTTGTTTCTATTAGAGATGAAGACGATTTCACTGTATACAAGTATAGGTAAGGTTAAATTTATAAACATACAATTTTTATTGTGTATGTATTAGTGAATAAAAACTATTTTAGCCTACTACTCTGCACCATATCATTGGCTGTTTCTGTTGGTGCGGCACTGCTACTACCTATATCCATAGCCAGTAATGAAGTATTGTCTTTGTACCCATCAAGCTATTATGTCCAGTGGCTTAACCATTCACTTATACATGGTAATGACTAATGACACTACATTGTATGTATTAAATAGTATCATAGATTAAAATATATTCTTTGAATAGTCATTATTAAATCACAATTTTTGATTTCAAAATGGTAAATGTATTATTATGATGCTTAAAAAAATAAGCATTAAATCTACAAAATCGCTCGTCCATGATATATTTAATCTACGATAATATCGTTAAATATACAATTTGTATTACTAAGAATTAAAAATTATTATACCAATTTTTAGGCTTATGGAGTCTAGTATTTCTATTTTCCAATCTTTCACTTTTCATTTTTTTACCATTTGCATTTTTGTTCAATGAGTCTGAAGGTTTTCCAGGTCATCGAAAAGTAAGTGTGACCAAAGTAACATGTTATTCATTTAATTTGACAAAACATATATTTATGTATTTCTTTTTAGGGGTTAAAAGCTAGAGTGTATGAAACATGTACTGTAATGTTGTTGCTTGCAATATTTGTGCTTGTGTTAACATATTTGCTTTATACCATTTTCTATGCGGAACAATCCATATTTTATATGTTATTTAGTAAGTTTTTAATATTTTTTCATTTTAAACAAATGATTGTATCTTTACATTTATATATATATATATATTAATATAATATAACTGTCTTTTGCAGATTTATGGAACAATTATTTGCCCTTCTTATATTCTTGCATATCATTTATTGGTGTTCTGATGCTATTAAGTATACTTTCTAAGTTATATATTTTTTAAGAATATATTAAATATTAACTTGATGTTTTTAATTTCAGTATGTACGCCTGTAGGATTTGCCACCTTATTTACAATTTTGAGTAGATTTATAATAAAGCCTCAGTTACAAAAAACTACTGATGAAGAAATTAGTATATTAAGACTTGAAGTAGATTGTCTCACTAGAAGGTATTACTTGACATTGTCTTTATTGCATAGATTTGAAATTAATTCTGTATCTAATGCCTATTTCTTTCTTAAGTTTTTCTTTCTGCAGCAAATAAAATCTCTTCTTCTCTTCACTTATTTGTTCCAGAGCAAATACAAATTTTATTATTTGAATGTTTTCTTAGTTCATTAGTATTTTATTTGTTTTGGAACAAATTGATTTATTTTGTTCTAACACGAATAAATGTTAATGTAATTGATTAAACATAAATCATTACATTAAGTTTGAAATAGTATTCTAATTTTACACTAAATAAAAAAATGTAATCTTAAATTAATTAACACATATTTTGTAAAATTATTTTTCAAATGTAATTTTTATACAATATAGTAATTTGCTTTTTTTAAAATTCATATTAAGTCATCCTTACTGTAAATAAAAAGTAACTTGTATTACAAAAGAAATTTGTTTTATGTTACTACCCAACACTGATTATTAATTATTAATAAATAATCTTATTTTATGATTATTTAATTTTTTTAGATTGGATCAAATAACTCAAAATGGTGAGACGTATATGTCTCCAGAACCTATGTTGACAAAAAAAGAAAGAATAATGACCATAACTGAAAGAGATTTATGGACGTTGAAAAATGGAAAGCTAAAGAGTGGAGTAGTTGATAGATTAACAAACTTTCAGGAGCGACTTGACATACTTGGTAAAGAATAGACCATTTATTATCGATATATAATTTTTTTTATCAAATAATTAAACAATTATTTATTACCTTCTTTACAGAAAAACAAAGAAAAACATCTGTGTTTCGTAAGCTGTTTCTTTTTCCTACGTTTATGCTTCTATTGCTTATTCTTACAGTTGTCACAGTTCTATTAGTAGTTCAGAATTTACTATTGATACTTGTTGGAATTAGAGCTTTGCCTCTAAATACTCGAGTAAGGAAAACATGTTAATTTTTTTTTTGTGTAAACTGATAATGAATTGTATTGTTTTTAGCAATTTACTTTGGGTGTAAGTTCTCTTTCTAAATTGGGACCTTTTGGAGCCGGACTAGAAATTGTTATTATTCTTTATATGCTAGTGGCGTCAACGGTCGGTCTTTATTCGTTACCTGTAGTATCTAGATACCGTCCACGAATCAAACAAACTCCTCTGACACACATAGTGGGAAATTGCACTTTGTTGCTTATATTAAGTTCTGCGTTACCACTTTTGTCCAGAATATTGGGTAAGCATAATTATTAATTCACACGACATTTGAAACGATCTTCATAGTTTGATTGTTATTCAGGTATTACAGATTTTGATTTATTAGCCGATTATGGGAGAATTGAGTGGCTCGGTAACTTTGCAATTGTTGCATTTTATAATGTGGTTTTTGCTACAGCGGCTACTCTATGCTTGATTAACAAATTCACTTTAGCTGTACGCAAAGAACTATTATCAAGGTAAATATAATTATTATATTATTATGCAAGGTGCGGCAAATCAAACAGTGCAGTTTTGAAAGGCTGTTAAGAAAAAACTACGCAACTTACAGAAATTAGATTTATTTAATTTTCTTTAGTACATCATGCCGTTTTTTGTATCAAGTTTTAAAAATGGCGAACTACGGGGCTTCGCCGTCCGTACGTTTTTTGAAAATGGTCGTTCTTTCATCGCAACTCAGCGAGCTTTCTGGCTGCACTTTAACCTTGCGCGTCATGATACCGTCCCTCATCGTAACTGTCAACGCTCAACGTTATGTTTCCATGTTGGACAATTTTTTTGAACCACAATTGGAAGAGCTAATGGGAGAAACAGATATGGGGGACATCTGGTTCCAACAGGACGGGGCTAAGGCACATACTGCTCGAGTTTCAATGACAAAGCTGCGACAGATGTTCCCTACGCACCTCGTCTCTCTGAGGGGTGGTGTGAGGTGGCCCGCGCACTCACCGGATTTGAGTGTTTGTGATTTTTTCTTGTGGGGCTACCTGAAGGAAAAGGTTTTTAAACATCAACCTTACACCATGGAAGAACTCAAAGAGCAAATTCGGGAGGAAATTGGCGCTATACCAATTGAAATGTGTCAAAATGCGGACGAAAACTTAGAAGTTGCCTTCATCAATGTATCGCTGTTGGCGGCCATTATCTTTCTGATGTCATTTTTAAAACTGGATACATAAAACGGCATGATGTACTGAAGAAAATTAAATAAATCTAATTTCTGTAAGTTGCGTAGTTTTTTCTTAATAGTCTTTCAAAACTGCACTGTCTGTTTTTCCGCACCCTGTACAAAAGCTAAATATAAATGTTTAAATAATTGTTTCCAGACTGAAAAGTTTTTGGCAATGGATGATGGGCCGTGACTGCAGTATTACACACAATTCTAGTTTTTCAATTGACAATTCACCGACAATTAACAAAAAAATTAGTTAATTTGTTTACACCCATTTCATGTTTAGTGAATATATTTTTACTGTTATCGTTTATTATTATTTTTACTTATTTATTTTTAGTTTAAATCAAAACTAGTATGTTTTTGAAGTGTTTATTTATGTAGCAAAAAAAAAACTATGCACACGTCAAAACAATCCTATTTATTTCATTAGATATATTTTTAATACTGACTGATGCAAATGGGTAGAGTGTACCTATAGCAAATTAAATAGACTAATGTTTGCATTTTTAATTTCAGTTAATTTTAAGATCACTGAAATATATAGCAATGTTAAGTTTTCAGAAGTATTATTATTATAAATAACTTGATATAGCCAGTGTTCGAAATTAATTAAATTATTAAACCATCAGTGAATATTAAATAAACAAATTATTTTTATTACGTAAACTTTTATTTACTATAAAAAATATTTGTTTTTTTGTTTTTAATTTACAACTACATTGTATATTCATGAACATCAAAATCATTATTATCTATGCCTACCGTTTTGTTTATAATATAATGTAAAATTTTACTTCAAATCATTTTTTTTTTTTACTAATCAGATTTGCATTCTATGAATGTTAAAGTAACAATTTAATTGTTTTTATTTAACTGTTCTTTTTGTATTATGTTTTTAAGTTATTTATTTTTTTATTTGAACTAATATTGTAAAACTGAAATAATCTCTTCTGATTATTGTAAATATGTACTGAATAATATTTGTATTTTGTTTATGGGAATAAAATCAATTCTTTAAATGAAACATTGTTTATGTAAATATACTATTATTTAAAGAATTTTAATCTTTTAGTGATTAAAATCATTTCCTGTTTTATATATTAAAATGTTGTGAATAAAAGTTCTATTTTAGATATGATTCTAAGTGTAGCTATCGGAAAGTATAACATAATATATATTTCACTTAAAGGTTACTTTTCCTTCTTTTGTTATGAATTAGAAGTATCTAATAAGTAATCTTTTAATCAAATATAACTTATAAGGTTGATTTATCCTGGTTTTTAGATACTTATTGCCTTTTTCAAAATAATATTGTATAAAACTTCCTTATTTAGAGATATGAATACTCAAGCATTTCAATTTTTTTAAAAGACAATAATGGTTGCAGCATAATTAGAAATTTTCCGATACATTGATGTTGTAATTTAACAATAATATATACATATATTAACCTATCTAAGAAATTCGAAATAGAGTTTTGTATTTACAAGATGTGAGACTGAGTTATTAGTTTCGATGTTTGTCTGGCAGGTTCGGTGACATGTTTTACATTCTCCTGAAAAGTAGTGAAAACTGAGATAGGCCATGATGTTTCTTAAGCAATTATTTTATACATGGCGTGTGTCTGTACATAGAAAAGTTGGTTTTATTAGAAAACTTTTTAAACTCAAAAGTTAAAACATTTAGAGTTATCCATTCTGATTCTGTACGTCACTTACGTTGTAAACACTTATCAATAGTTAATGGGTTATACATCAAATTTTAATCATTTAGAATACAACAGCTCTACTTTACCTTGAAAAATATATTTATAATTCACAAATAAGTAAATTTTGTTTTTAAAGCTAATGTTATATTACAAAATTAAAATTAAATGTTATCCTCAGTCTTTGTATTATTTGTATGGTCTACTATTTTTTGTTCTTTAAAACTAGAAGTAACTTTGTAAAATGATTCAAAATGACTTTCAGATAATTCTTTGGAAGGTGTAACAAAAGTAAAACCACTTTGAGAACCGACAGCTAACCACCTAAATGATGTAACATTTTGATTCCAACAAACCTAAAAAAATATCAATTAAATTGATACTATTTAAGTTATAACTAAACTTTCTTACCTTAGTGATGTTTTCTAATGGATATCTTAATAATGATGTACTGTCCTTTAAATGTCTCTTTTCGTCATTTTCTGAAGGGTACTAAATTATAATTTAAAAGAAAAAAGAAAGTTACTAATATAATGTACAAATATTTTCATAAATATTTAATAAACTTTATTTAACCAGCTTCAACTATTATAACTACAAAACTAGATGTTGCCTTTACATAAAACTATTGAAATCTAAAATTTAGAAAAAAAAGCCAATGCATTCCTTTTGCTAAATGAGCACAAATGCCAGATAAAATGATACTCACAAATTTAGCATCTAGTGCAAATTCTTTTACAGTGTCATTGAAACGACTAAGGTTCAATGGTTCTGACCGAGACTCTTCACTAATTGATACTTTATTCACTGAAAGTTGTAATATTTTCTGAAATAATAAATTTATTATTTTTAATCAAGCAACAACACTAACAATTAGACAACATAGAAAAAAATATATTTTAAACTAAACTAGGTTTTTTTAAATTCAAGTTTTGAGCTTGCTCGTTTTTCTAAAAAATTTACATATAAGCAGTCATTGGTATAAAACAAACTTTTGGAATGAGTTTCACTGTTACATAAAACCTTATCTGATATTAATAAATCAAGAGTAAGGATTAAAATGTCTGGCATCACCATTGTTAAAAGCTTAAATTAATTGAATTATTAAATAGAAATTTCAACCACAAAAAATAAGAAAAGAAATTAAGTTGAGAAAATAATTAAGGTACTTACAGTACATTTTTTTCGCAAATGATTTCTTTCAGCTGAAAAACAATTTTCATAAACATTTCCATTTTCATCTCCAGTTGCAATAATATTCATCCAATTTGAACCAGCAATCGACTAAATGTAATATATTTGAGAATTAAAACTACTATAATATACTTTTATCAAATACCAATAAACTCTAACTAACCCAATGAATACCAGATTGAAAAAAAGAAGGTCCATATAATTCATCATCTTCACAACAGTCTTTTAATTTAAAATCTTCCTCACTGTTCTTATGATTATTATTTAATTTTTTCTTCTTCTTTCCTAGGTTTGATAATTCTTCATCACTAGTGTTTGAATCAGTAGCTGATGCTTCATAATCATCGTCATGACCATTATTTTTATCATTATCGCCATCAAAGTTATTTTTATCAACAGTGCCATCGCGGTTATTTGTATCATCATCATCATCATCATCATCATCACTATTTGCATAAGAATTGTCCACTTTCATTTTATCATTATCACATTTAAACTTTTCGCTATTAATACTTTCATCAAGATCACAACATTCATCGACACTATCATTGAATGATTCAATTTTGTTAACAATATCACTAGTTTTCGTTTTGTTATTACTCAATGATGATGATAACACAAACAATTCAGGATTATAATCGTTCAAATCATCATTACAGTTAAAGAAATTTATACTTCTCACTTTAGAAAAAAGGGAACTAAAAAAACAAGGAAAAATAATTAATAAATACTTGTGCAAATAGATAAATAAGCTTCCGTTCAACTTACTTTACGCTTTTTGAGCATAGCATCAACGTATAACATTGTTGTAACCAAGTACAATCAGAACAATTATAAAATTTTGTATCAAATATGGGATCTTCAGTCGATTTTATATCCCATAGATTTATTTTACCGTCAAATGTAGTTGTAGCTAAAATTGTGGGATTTAAATAGTTCATGGAAAGTCCTGTCAAGTACAAATGCATTAATTTTTATATACATTTTAATACATATACATTCGTGAAAATACTTAATATATTAAATAATATATTATTCTTATACAATTTTCGACTTAATCAGATGCCTCGGGCCTAACTGAGATAACTTTAAATTTAGATGTTTTTTTGTTATGTTTAACTTTATGTTGTTTGTTTTGGTAAAAAAAATTATACTTATGACAAATAAGTTTAATATTGTCAGTCAAATTAGAAAAAGGAGCAACACACAAAATATGTGTTAATTATCTTGTTATATTGGCTAATGATATTAGAAATAATCTTTTACCTGTTATGCAGCATTTACTAGCTCGAAAAGTATTACTTGGATACAGTATGTCACCTTTTAAAAATATTGAATTTAAATTCAAGTTGAATATGCTAACTAAACCATTTGTATAGCCACATATTAAAGTCCTGAAATAACAAAGTTACAAATTGTAATACACATATTATTATTTAATAAGAACAGAACGAGAGGACAAGTGGCAAGTGGTTAATATGTCACCGGTTTGACAATTGGTCACGGGCGCTCCATATTCCGGCTGAAAAACCATCAGTTAAAAAGAAGCTGATATCCCCCTCCCCGGCGACAACTGATGACCCGCCTCAGAAAACTACATGATGATAAACAACAGAATGAAAACCAAATTGTCAGTAGTACTTACTTAAAAGGGGCAGTTGCTTGCCAACAAACTCTAGTACATTGTATACTAGTGTTATTCCATTCAAATTCAAAATTCCTCGCTATTATTGGCTTGACTTTATAAATGTTAAATCTAAAATTTCAAGTTGTATTACATCAATTGTCTGTAAAAAGATTATTTTTGTCTTACTTTACTGGATCGCCTTTCATATGAGGCATTGCAAATATTGGACAATCACCACTGGATGTACTCAAAGCCAACAAACCAATTTTTTTATTTGGCTCATAAGAACCTGCAGGACACCAAGCCATATCCCAAACAGCTCCAAATTCGTGAGCTATACCATACGACATATAGGGCATCATATCACTTGAACTATGGCTAACAAAACAAAATAAAAATGTTGTTATACTATTTCTATAAATCATAATTTTTATTTAATTTTTGACTAATACTTTATGTTGTGCAAGGTGTCAAACTTCCATAACTGAATAAGTGAAGGATATTTGTAACTTTGCATTTCTTTATGAATAATGTCGGGATTAGGATGACATGAGATAGCTAAATATTGAACTTGTACGTCTTCAGAAGCAGGACACCACGCCATTGCCCAATCTGGACCACCAGTATTGAGCCAATACATTTCTTAAAAAGAAAATTAAAACGTCAAAACAATTTTTTTTTTATGTCTACACTTTCAGTATTTAACTACTAACCATTAATGTATATCGATTGAAAGAGATTAACACAAATGTGGTTTTCCTCTGAACAAAAAATTTTGCACGACTGCTGACAAATTGGCAAATATTTTTTCGCTTCTACATCATGTAATAGCTGAATATCAGGTTGAATATTTTTGAATAAATTGTTGTCCGATAATATACATTTATAACTAAGGACATAATTAAAATGATTAGAAACTATGTTTTACAATTTCACAAAAAATTATATTTTGATCAGACATTTAAAGTGTAAATAGTAAAATATATAACATACATATTCAATTTATATACTCACAAATCATAATAGTGTAATAACGGTTTTACAGAAACATTTATATAAGGGTCATACTTATCTGCAATAATTAAACCCATTTATTAGTTTTAAGCACATTGTTATACAAAGTAGATGACATACTCGATACATATTTTCCTAAATTGTTTTTTATTTCGTTTATATCAATATTATGAGCATCTTCAACATGATCGACTATATCATTATAACTCATAATAGTCGAGTTACATAGTATACAAAAATAATCCTGTAATACATAATTATAAACTATTAGTTTTATTTCAATAAATTTTAAATATAACCGTATAGTGATTAGCTTTTAATCTTACACAATACTCAGTCAAATATTTAGTTTCTGGATGTAGGCTTAATACATTCAGAGGTCTTTGTTTCCTTTTCGATTTGTAAAACAGTAAATCTCCTTTATCCTAGAAGTTTAAACTATAATAGTAAATGTATTAAAATAGTAACTAAAAAAGCCGATAGTCAATGATCCGCTTAGAATATCTTAAAATCAAGACTCAGCTAGTTAGAAATACCTGTGACAATACAATGGATAGGAAAATATACTTTTAAACATTCACATACATAAAATATATGAGAAAAAAGTTGTTTAACACCCCATTCCCATTTTAAACACTGGTCAATATCAAACTGCAAAAAAGTGATTTACCAAAAAAAAAATTTGTACTCGGAGTCCTCTAAAAATCTCCCCGTATTTATGAATGTTTTAGTAACTATTGGTTGTTTTCTAATTTTGTCCAATTTAGTAAAGAATTTTGTAATACACGTGTATGACATCATTTGTTGAATTTAGCCCAAAAATTTAAATAACTAGGAATTACCGTATTACTACTATAGTGATTATAATCTTGTGATGTTTTAACAATTGAACCATGACAATTTAATTTGTGACATATCATAGATGTTGGCTTAACTTTCCTTCCACATTTATCACATTCCGCTAAAAGAAGTATCGTGTCCTATTGAAAATATATATTTATAAATGTGTACTGTAGTGATGGTACAGGGTGCATGCGGCGTAATAGACTCCCATATTTCAAATAATCATCATAGGAAATAAAGAAGTCCATTACCCCGCAGCCTATACTTAATTCATAGATTTATGTATTATTATACTTGATAAATTAATAAAAATTAAATTTTTGCTTACTTTTTCAGATTTTTTACAAAATAATACATGGCTAGCAAAGCCAGGAATACTTTTTTTAACAGTTTTGCAATCTTCACAAGTCAATTTTACTCCTCGCCCACGCACAACTTTAAATGGTATAAATTGTTTTAATATAGATAGTACAACTTCATAACTATCGAAATTCTGGAATATACAAATTTTTATTTGAATAACAGTTTTCACTAGAAAAATAACATAATATTGTTATTGGGTTACAGGTTTTTCTTCACCAACAATCCAGCATAAGTTATAGTGCTCAGCCGCATGTACTTTATGGTACTCTTTTAGAGTCATTTCTTTATTACAACGTCCACAAGTAACCTTTATACAATAAGTGTTAAAAAAATAAGACATTTTAATTATGAGATTAAAAATATTTTTTATTTTCAATATCTTACTTTGGATGAATTATTTTCTGAACTTATACACACAGAGTTTTTTATTTCTCTTTGACTAACTGTATTCTAAAAAAAAAAAAAAAAATGATAGATAGGTATAGTTTGTTTTTTAAGTAGTGATAGAAAAACACTCACTGGTCTTAACTGACATTTTTTTAAATGGCTAACAAAACCTGGAATGCTCCTTTTAACAATATCACACCACTCACAAGAAAGCATTATTTTTTTTTCACGTGCTGCATTAACAGGTAAACTTTTTCTAACTAAATCTTGTGTGGTAGTTTCATCATCAAAATCCTTAGACAAAAAAAGTTTACAACATAATATAGTTAATTACATAAAAGTTAAAACTTCATGTCGTTGCAAACTACTTACAACTTCTTTCTCGCCCTTTAGCCAACATAAATTGTAATGTTTATTCTTATGTTTTTCTTCGTATTCTCTGTACAGCATGCTTTCATCACAACGGCCACAAGTTACCTGAATATAAGTAATGCGAAGTTAAAATAAGTAGGTAAGAATAATATATATATAGTATATACACATAATTTATTCTAAACTGAAACTACTTAGTTTCCTCAAATCATGTTTTTGTATTGCCGTGTTCAACATAGTAATCAATTACGGTACATACATTTTTTAAGTTTTCTGCCCACACTGTTGGTAGATCAACTCTCAGATTTGAAATTTTTTTTTGCATTTTTATGCCAAATTTTATGATTTTTTTTGACAAATAGTGTTGTTCTATAGAGTCAAAATATTACATCTCTTTGATAATGCTGCCATTTAATGTTAAAATATCAAAAGAACAAGTATATTTAGCCAATAGACTGAAAAGTATAGCATTTACGCGCGCGGTAGTATAATATACCTGCGCCTAGTACGGTTTGGAATGCACCTAAATAGGTACACTATACGTAAATTTAGACTTCAAATATAAATTTGAAAATTTAAGAGCACATTCTCCAGATGATTAACTAATTTTCTAAGCAATACATTTTTTTCACATGACCCTTCCCCCTCCCCTTAAATTAAGATAAAAAAATATTAGCTTTATATCAAGATTTTTTTTTAATAAATAGTTGGTAAAACGTCTACTTAAGTAGTCATATACTAATTAAAGAAATGTATCACATTAATGGTGAACTTACAGTTGAATTATATTTTGCTTCTAGTTCATCATCAATTTCAGCTGAAGACATATTATTTTCTTCAACAGGTAGAGTAGATAACTGTTAAAAAATTAAGAATACAATTTTAATTATCTTTAGAAATGTGAGCGCAAAATCCATGTTTAATAAAGTTTGCTAGCGTCTGGGAACTTTGGCAAACTACATCAAATCCATAAGAATTTAACATTGCAAAAATTCTTATTTTATTTTTCTAATTTTATTACATAAATACTTACATTTTGTTGAGCATCACATTTTCCAACATGCTTAGCAAAGCCACTTACACTTTTCTTTTTTTCACCACACCATTCACATGTAAAAGATACTTTTTTGTTACGTTCAGCATACTTTGGTAAAATTGAGCGCAATAAATAGGCAATTTTATTTTCATCTGTATAATCCTATAATAAAAAGTTATAATAACAAAAATAATATAACATCTAATCAATGTTTGGGCTCACTAATGTTTCTTCACCTTCCACCCAACACAAGTTATTATGGATATGACGATGATTATTAATATACTCCACACCGGTCATACTAGTATAACATCGGCCACACGTTACCTGTATAAAATGTGTAGTGTGTATATTTTCAATCAACAGAATCAGGTAATAACATGATACTTACTGTAGGTTGGTAACTTATCTTATTATTGGTTATATTTGAAGTACCCTGAAAAAAAATTAATAAATAATTTAGTTAATTATATATGTTTAATTTAAATTATTACATTCCTCAAACAGTAAATAAATTTATATTAAAGATCCTAAAATTATACATTTACACATAGAAATGAAAATTGTTTTCATTTATTTAGTTTATACACATTGTATATTTTATATTTTAACACATTTCCAAATATTTTTAGAATTTATTACTTTTGTAGTAGAGAATTAAAAAAACTTACCGTATTATTTCTACATTTTTGGAGGTGAGTACAAAATCCAACAATACTTAATTTTACATCATTACACCATTCACAAATAAATTTTATTTTTGGTTTGTTTTTAGTAGCCCCACGTAATAAGGATAGAACTGCACTTGTATCTGTATAATCCTATAAATTAAAATAATAATATAAACATAGTGATATCCTTGTCGGCATTTCACAAATCAAAAAATAGTATATTATATTTTATAATAGTATATTATATGTTTTGTATAACTTCACGAAACTTACTATTTCACTTTCAATTCCATCAAGCCAACATAAGTTATAATGAGTTATACGATGTTCATTATCGAAGTCTGCAAATGGCATTTGTTGTTTGCATCTACCACACGTGACCTAAAAAAATGTATTAGTTAACAATAACAATGCTAGTATAATACATAGTAGGATATCTAATAATATCAAGAAATCATACAATCACTTTTAAACTTAGGCTATAAAAAGGTGTTGTGTAAAATTATTGATTAATTGATTCATTTTTATACAAATTTGTATAATTGTATCCACTTTAAAAAAAAATCGTATTATAAATAGCAATGATTAATTACAATCAAACCAAAAGGTAATGAACAAAATAAACTATAATAATTTGTACTGCAAGAACAATTAATAAAAGTCTATTATCCTATCAACTATTAAATTTATTTCAAACCCACCATGGTATCAGCGGCGATGATTATTGTTACTTCTGGTTCAAGTTTTACGTCTTCATGAAAATTCTCTATACTATCTTCGTTATTCATTTTAGAATGTTTAAAATTTTAAACTATTTAGTATTGACTCTAATACCTTAGTAATAACAATTGATTTCAAAAATTGACGCCGCTATGTCACTATCAGTATCAGACTGCAACGAGTATGAAGTTAGCCATAAACGAGCCAGCAATATTTGATAACAGAAAGTGTCATGGCGTTGGTGTATGTTGTGTTGCCAATACACTAATTATTCTAAGGGGCAGCCCATATATCCACGTACACCGACGATTATTATTATGCGATATCGACTTAATTAATTAAAATATATTCTAATTATCGACAAAACAGTAAGAGTATATTATTTAACTTAAAAAAATGGCACTTGGGGTTTTGCGGCCGCCGAACCCAACCCAGCAATAAAAAAGCGGCCGAACGCCGACCGAAACCGTCGGCAGTTATGTCAATTTTTGACAATGTTCCGGAAGAGGTCCCCTCAATTTGATTATACCAATCGAAAGCTTACTAAAATGTCTAAAAATTCGTTTCTATGTAAAAAGTTGGCACCGGGGGTCTTGCGGCCACCAGAAGCCGCCGAACCCAACCCAGCAATAAAAAAGCGGCCGATTGCGGTCACGTTAAACCTATTTTAGTAGTCCATGATCCACATGTGGTTCATTTCAAACATTTATTTCTCTGGAGATTTATTTGTATGGACTATATTCTATGAAATTTATAATAACACAGTTGGACAGGTAAGATGATAGGGACTTAATTAATTAATTAATTAATAAATTAGGGACTTATCTATAAATAAATCATGAACCACATTAGGGGTCATCGTCCGATGACCGTGGAGGACAGTGAACGTGTTAATCTCTAGTGTTATAAAATCCTAGCCCCCGCTAGAATTGCGTCAAGTAATTCCCCGTTATATATTATAATTAAAAACGTCCCTTGTTCTGGCGGCGAATCGGTCGCGCCGAAATCTGACTGTCGTGTCCTTAACGAACTTGATGGGGCTAATGTGTGATCGAGTGATGGTAAATTTTATGGAAAGAATAATCGCCTGTAGGGCTAGCAGGGGGTGGGGGGTCATATAATGGATATTGTTTTTCGCTGTTAAACCTAAACTTCTCCTGAAGAGAATGATACATTTGTTATGTTTTTTTAAGAGAAATAAATTTAATTTATAGCAGATTTAAATCCGGCGTTCTTTTTGAGACACCCTATATATTAAAACTAAAATCGTGATTGCAGGGCAGCGGCGACAACGCAAATGGACGCAGTAGGCCATGTGGAAATGGCACACGTTATTTGAAAAAAAAATTAAAAACAATATGTCAGACCATTGGGCGGATGTGCATTGGTGTGTTTGTTTTTTTACAGCCCAATAAGAAAAGGTGAAAAAAAGAAAATATAAAAATGATTAGAATAAGAGGTTATAATAATAATAATAATTAGTTTATAAAAAAAAATGAGAGTATTTAGTGTGCAAAATGTAAAATACGATTATAGTTAGCGGTGTAAGTTATTCTGTGGATGTGGCGCTGTCTGGTTCGCCTTGTGCCTGTGTCGAGTGGACGTCTCAATCGACTTGAACCAAAGCCAATACAGAGGTATCTCCTCTGTATAGCATAGAATAAAAATGAATTACTGTTTATAAAAAAAAAAAAAAAATTGACTTACCGCCCAGTTTTGTGTTTCTTGCTTAGCTTTTACACTATTTATGAGTTCACTTGATACACTAGTATCAAGTTAGTTCGTTGGTATTAACCAACGACGTTTCTGTTATTGAACATCATACTTAACTCCAATTTTGAATTTTTTTTCAATAATAATAATAATTTTAATTTATTTACTTAATCTCAGTTAAAATTAAAATGTCTATTGACAAGTATCAAAACTATCTTGCCATCGAAAAACTTTCAAACTTCAATGAAGTAAAACCAAAAAAGGTTCAAAAATGTAAGTGGAAATTACATACAAATCGAAATAGATTATAAATAATTTTTTTTTTTGTACAGAAACACTTAAGTAAGATAAAAAAACTATAAAAAAATATATATTGTATGGTTTTTGTCAGTACACACGTTAGATCTTAAAAACGGATGAAAAGTGTTAAAATGGTTGGCTAGTTTCTTTCTTTCTTTCTTTCTTTCTTTTCTTTCTTTCTTTCTTTGACGGTTGGTTGTTCAAGCATGTTGTATATTTAGCAGTAAATAATTTAAATAAAAATCAGTATAGCTTAACGCGCGACACAGGTGAGGTGGCTCGCACGTCAATTAAAAAGTATCTACGCTATACACCGATACATCGGCACATGGGTATGTCTTAGACACAACACAAACAAACAATTCGTGGCACTATTAAATTTGACGTTTAAATGACTTATCAATTTCAAACAACTGTCTTAAGCGAATAATGCGAGTGTGTAAAACCGAGGTAACAAAATTGCTGTACATATGTTATTGTTATTTAATAATAATTTTTTTAGTTTCGATGCGAAGCATTTGGTTTAAAAGAAGAAAAAAAATATATATATACATATACAGAATGATCCATCTGATGTTAAACACTCGTTTTGATTGACTAATTAATGACAATTAAAAAGTCAAATGCTAACATTTTTTTGTCTACATATTTACGGAATTAAAACCATAATATGTTTGTGTCTTTTACGTATAAGAAATGGAGGTAGGTAAACGTTTGTTAAGCATTAAGAAATATAGTTAAATATATATTTCTATATTTCCTACAAGTATAGGAAAAAAATCATTTTTTAAAATATTAATATTTTTTGAGAAAATTAGTGTCTTCATTAAACGGATCACCCTGTAAAAAATTGTTTTTTTTTTTTTTATAGATAATGTAGATATTCTTCTGTTCAAAGCATTTATAAGAAAAATATGCGATGGATTGGGTTTAAACACAATACACTTCCTTGATCAGTTGATGTCAACAGCCCAATTATTCCGACAAATGATGAGACAGAGTGAACGGAATAGACAAGGCTACAGAGCTTGAATTTCTTTCACATACTAATTCGGTTTAACAATGTTATACAATTCTTACAGACTTATTATATCATAGTCGACATAAATACCTACCATTTAGGGAGATTTCATAATATATTTTTGAGACTATAGATATGATTATATATTTATTAATTTAGGGTAAAACAATTTCGAACGACAAGCTATTGGCGTTAAATGTATTGGTGAGGGTGTAGTATACGTCTGTAATGTGGAAATTTTATAAATAAATATAATAATAAAAGCAATTTGTATGCATAATGGTAATAAATAATATTTTACAATTTTAATAATATAATATTAAACTTATAGAACCGTTTGAAAATGTTCAAAATGATAAATTTGTGTTCAGAAACAAATATAGGCGGTTGATTATTAATTTTTAAATTGAATCAATATCATTATTTTTATACGTGCGTCATAAAATAAGTGTTGTTCGGTTGAAAGCTGAATGAACTTTTTTTAAAGTTTGTGTACTCTTTAAAGATTGTGTGTTTGAACTTTGAATTTCAAACACTGTGACACTAAACGTCGAAAAGCAATACAAATAGGACAGTTAAATAACTAAATTGTGTCTATTATAAGCAGTACTTATAATTTTCATACCGCACAGCAGTATTTAAATGCATGGTATGATTATTATAAGGTCCCTCTAACACGCAGTGGCACAACTAAGGGGGGCTTAGCTCCCCATGACTAAAATTTAGGCCATTCCACCAAAATAGTCCTCGTTGACTTGAATATTAGTTAAATTTTATCATGTTGTCATTTGAAAAATTGAAAAGTAACGGTTAATGAACGTTATTAAAACGATTTTTTTTTCAATTAAACTTTATACATTATGTACCTATTATCTGTGATAAAATATTGATTGGAAAAAAAAAATGAATTTAGATTTGAACGATGGGGTTTTTAATGTAATATTCTAAAATTCTGAAATTGTATTTATTGACTTGTAAGTATGAACCTAACAAAGAGATAGCTTTTTTTTGGGGTTATTCTCATGTTGCATGTAAAACAATTTCTATGAGTACAAGTAGTAGATTATTTTAGTCCACAATTTTGGTGAGGGCTGTAGCCACCCCCCAAAATTTGAACCCTAGTTGCGCCTATGATTACACGTATAGGTAAGGTTAGGTTAGGTGTGTCCGACAAAGATTTGACAAACGAAATAACTTTTGTCTATTTTTAAGGTTTTTTTTTTTTAAATTATTTTTTAAAATACTCATTTGCGCTATAAACATCAAGGTTTGTATTGCTCTTGACGGTTTTACTATTTTTTATGTTTTTTTATTTATAGCGCAAATGAGTATAAATTAATTTTAAAAACAAATCTTAAAAATATTCATTATTACTAAAGTTATTTAATTTGTGAAATCTTTGTGGGACACTCTGTATACATGTGTAACACGCATAGTTCACATACACGTGTATGAGTTGGTATAATTATAATTGCATGTGTACCAACTACACGTGCACACTGTATATGTATCTACACGCGTGCCTTTAACTACGGGTGTTCTCACAACTGTAAGTTTTAATAATACTTATATTTATTGTATTTCAGAGTATTCATTATTTTATTGCTTTCCACTTAAATGTTGTATTATAGCCCCATTGGATCGAGCGGGTTCTCGGATAAAATAAAAACATATTTTTACATGGAGATTTAACAAGATATGACGACACTCTCGAGTGTGAACGATCGACTCGTTTAAATCGTAAAGTAATTGTTGCTATAAATACAATATAGAAAGAAAAATTTTAAAAAAACGTCCACCCTTTAATCTAATAAATAATAATATACTCTTGGTATAAGCAAATAAAATATATCCAACAAAAACCTAACAGTGAAAAAGGGCCAAGTTCTAGACCCCTTCCCAAAAAAACCTTAACAAATAACAGACAAAGTACACATTTAAGTTGACGGGAATTTATACGCCTTATTTAATAAGACATTTAATATTTTTCGTTTTATGAGTTTTCAAATATATTTAAAAAAAAGTACAGTGAAACATATCTGTGTGCGCACATATCCCAAAATAGTATGTCTGTTTCGAGAATTTTGGCAACTTTAATATTAACATTGTATATTATATTAAGTT